GGAATAATGTATTCTAGTATTATTATCTTATACAATTTAATACCACACTTATCCAGGTACTAATGTCTGCTCAAATGTGGAATATTTGTTCCCCAAAGAGTAATCCATTTGCATTCCAGTTATCATTCTCAACTCCCTGGGGAGAATACAACCAAAGCTGCCTACAGGTGCTTGAGAGCTTTTACATCCACTTCACATATTGTGTACCCATGTATAGAGAACAAACGAGCGACAAACATGGCTATTTAAGTTTCTTATACACAGCCAGGTCCCAAAATAAGCTTTGGGTTATTTGGGTAGTTTACCCAGGGGTATGATTGTGATTGGGAATCCACAATTTTTAGAGGGTATTCAAATTTTTATTACCAACCTGTTTCACAATTGGGTATTTTAACTTGAAAACCTGTTTCGTCAAAATCCCTGGAAATCATTTAAAATTAAATGAACAGTTGTACCCGTCTACACCTCTCTGGGAAGCCATTTTTGTTTGCAAAACCTACCACTGTTACATGTAAGAAGGGTGTTATCTTTTAACAAACCAATCAGCCACTGTTGAAGATACATCGACTAGGCACAACATGCTTTTTCAATTGGAATCTATGGGCATTCGAGTTTTTTCATTGCACAAGCTTTTCTGATTGTAACAAGTCAGCGTAAAAATAGCTGCAAGAATCACTTGAACAACCAATGAAACAGTTGTACCAAAGAGTGAAAGGTTTGTTAATGAAGTTTATCAAGTACAATCCTGTGTCAGTCGTGCATTGCCTCTTTACGACTTGCCACGCTGATCCATTCTAAAGACCTTCAGAACATGCTTGACTGGACTACACAAATACACTACACCTGCCTTCCAGTATCTATTCTCCGGCACACAGTCCTGGCCAAATGCCCAAGTTATGGACAAATACTGTGACATATGAAAAGATTGCAACTTTTATTTTCAAACAGACTGCAGCATGTTTTATATAAATTCTTAGGCCAGTTGACGGTTTACAGCTTCAGCCAGCCCACATACTTGACTCAGTCACACTAGCATTCCAGAGGCATGTGTACATGGTGTATGAGAGCTCAAAAAACTATCACAATTTGCATTTTGTTGTATTCACGGATGACACAAACACAGCATTAACCATAAAGTAAAGAGCCCTTGTCATAACCCTAATGCTAATAGTTTAACAAAGGTATAATTTATTCCTACCTGCCAGATGTCAACAGAAGCTTTCAGTACTTATTATTCTATTTATACTGACAGTCAGTGTACACAGTGAAGACTTTCTGTATTAAGAAACAAAACATTTCCATTACTACAAATCACAACGGAAGTTCATTTCAAGTTGTGTTAACATTGCCTGGTTACAGGGACTTATCTAGACCTGATCAGAGGCTGTATTATTCAGCTCCAAGTCTGAAGCCAATGTGAGTGCAAATTACCAAATTGAAATTACAAGTTCCCAATTCATGTAGTAATAGTTATTACCAAAGATAACAAACGTTATGGCTTTGGTGAGGTGTTAAAGACTATTACATCGAATGCATTGTTAAAACATCTCCTAATCTGAGAAAATTAGAACTTTAATCAAAATCCCAATTTTGAAAGAAATTTCCAAAACTCAATTTCAAAGACTGCGTCTGACTGGTTCATCTCAGAAAGCAGAAAAATTGTTACAATCTACCAAAATGGCGATATGACAAATGCTGTAAGTTAAGTGCTAAATTAATCAGTCACAATATCATACTTAGTTTTGTGAGAAAAGTAAAGACAACAGAAGGGGTGAGGTGAAATTGGGTTTAACGTCGCATCCAAGATCATTGCACTAATATAGTGAAGTTCATGCACGTGTGTGTGTATGTGGCTGCTTGTACTAGTCCGGACTGATGCCGATTGATGGTGCTAGCTCACTGAGATACCATGCCGCAGTTTAACATGAATACCCCACTCAGAATCTCCGGGCGGACACTACCACCAGACCATGGAGGTGGTCCAGACAAATGAAGAAAAGGAAAGAGATAAGAAAAGTGACCTTATGATAATGACAGACATCAACGAGAGAGAAGTTCAAATCCAAGTGGACATCTGAATTGTCATGGCTTATTACCACTGATTCATGTACTGCACAACATGTAGGCCACGTTGTGCTTATTCATTCCAAGTACATGGCCCCTCATCATACGAGAATTACAAACTGTCATCTCTTGTTGAGGGGTTGTAAAAATGATAATTTGTTTGTAATCTACTCTAGCATGCATAATGGTATGAACAAATGAGGCCTCAAATATTCAAGGTGGGCTAGTTATAATTTTCAGTCACAAGCCTGTCTTGCTTGTTGAGAATAAAGTTATTTCAGATACTGCACAAGAGACAACTACAACTACAGTACAAGGACAGTTTGTTTGTTTGTTGTTTAACACCGCACTCAGCAATATTCCAGCTATATGACGGGAGTCTGTAAATAACTAAGTCTGGACCAGACAATCCAGTGATTGACATCATGAGCATCGGTGTATGCAATTGGGATATGATGACATGTATCAACCAAGTCAGTGAGCCTGACCACCCAATCCCATTAGACACCTCTTACGACAAGCATGGGTTGCTAAAGACCTATTCTAACCCGGATCTTCGCAGGTTTTTGTGAGTGCAGAAAGGGACCTAATTGCATGTACAACAATATTCCTTGAAGACTCAAAAACACCACATTGTTTTTCTAAAAACACTTAGTGTCACAGGATGGATGTCAAAAGTGTTGAGCTTTGACCAAGTGTTTCGCTTACGTCTGTGCCTAAAGAAAATGTCAAAGAGAAAACCTGCAACAGAGACTCTCAAAGGTGACGACCATACTGTTTCACATGAAATTACTCTTTTTTTACGCCACTGATTACTCAAAAGTTTCAATTAGGGTTGGCCTCTCTGAATTTGGCTGATTGACATGTTTCTAATGGGACCAGACAATCAAATGACACTTCATTAATTAAAGTAAATAAAGTATTTTGTTTTATCAAACAAACAAAGTTTTATGTTCTATGCCAGTGATACAGGATTCAGCGGGAGCATCCATTTTATAAACTGATTCAAAGAAATCACTTTTCAAAACAGATGGCCTATAATTCTCCAGGTTATCAAGGAGGCACATTTATAAGTTTCGTAATTATATTATCAACTATTGCAGTTTGTTGTAGACATAATATTGGTACAGGTCTTGAGGTCTTCCGAGGTAATTACAGTAAAACAAAGTGAAGCAACTGAAGAACGGCAAGCTGTTTTTGTGGCAGCCAACTACAGCCCTGATGTCCCCATGGGCCAAGCATCGACTCTTCATGATCTTTGTTCATGTAGTTTCCTTGGCTTCTTATTGAAAAAGACCCCTTTTTTGTCAACGAAGGGTCTATTAAGTCCTTCAGTGAACAGGTCTTGTGAGCAGTGCAAGAGAAACTGGCAATGATCAGTTTTACAATAAGCAGTTACCTTGATCTTAGACTGATGCTGACAAAAAGCTTTTAAAAGTAGTGCAAATATTAGACATGAAACAATGCATCAGTGCACTGGAGCACAGGCGCATCATGAGTGATATGAATCACTATACGTTTTTTTCTGTATCAATACAAGACGATACACTTGCTAAAATAACTTTCTACTCATTTAATGATACCCAGCATTTTCAGCAGTCAAATATTGTGAAATGTGTTGTAATTAGGGTTTCAAGTTCATTACGAAAAATAGCTGCTATGAACATGTGTCCACAGCTAGCTTTACCTTTTTAACTGCTCTGAAAGAAGTTTCCACAAGATTTGATGTAAATATGCACATCGCGATATGTACAATGATGTATTGTATTGGGAACTTGCTGTATCATTTCAACCGAAGCAAATATACTACAAATTTGGCAATAAAGATATTGAATTCTTTCTGAGAATGTTTTACAACAAACCCTCATACCGGAGCATTTTGACCTCATGACTTAAAACTTTTAATAAAATGTGACAAAAGATTTCCCTGAGGAAATTTAGAAGATATCAAGGCTAAAAAAAATATATTTTCTTGCTTCTCATGCACTGCCAAATCATCAAAAACCCACGGCATGTTTCATTTTTATTTCCATTTTGAAAAAAATATCTCTAAATATTCCATGTCTCAACTCGTGACCAGCAATACAAATTGGTGCTAGTCCAAAAGTCCTTGCCAAATTGCCCAATAGTTAGGTATCATAAGGACTAGTAGAAATTTGCCCTTTGTAAAGGTTTTGCTTTACGTTATCATTAAAAGGACTAGTGGTCTAAAACTGTTAGTTTCTATCACCACTATTGAATGCTTTCTTTCATCTGTAACTGTAAGTGTTATGAAGCTGAATAAAATTAAAAATAGAGCCATACATCAGATTGCAATTTAAGGTTTGCGTTTCCAGGCTGTCAACTGTCATTTTCAAGGTTATATAGTTGGGTTAGCTTTATAGTCTTATTAAATCCAGCATAATATAAATTCAAGGCTTTTCAAGCTATTTTGGTGATTGTCAAGGCTTTTTAAGGTTGACACTGAAAATCAAGGCTTTTCAAGAGGGACCTCAAAGTTCAAAGCTTTTGATGCCTATACGAACCCTGGTAATAGACACATTAGATAAAGGAAGCAGGTCACAGTTTGATTCAATTTTTTATCACAGGAAATAGTTGCTAATTTCAACTGGACTTGTCAGTTATGTAAACTTTGCCAACAACATGAAATTGCAATATACCGGTATGTTACAAACATTGTGATACTTTTCATGGGTATTCCAAATTGGGGTATATCTGTCAAACTGTGCACCTCCACCGCCTGCCATCAGCACTTACTGACTTAGTTTAGAATCCAAAATAAATACCTGGTATCATCTCAATTCATAGACACAATAACATTTGAGTCACAAAATTTCACTGGCATATATTTTCAGCTGGTTGTACCTCCTGGTCAGCACAAGATTAATCTGAAACATCAATGAGAAAAGAAATTATTATTGGTCACGTTTGCTTACCCCATTGCCTTGCTTAATTATGAGTTTAGATGGAGACATTGTGATGGTTGCAGGTTTGGCCGCTGATGTTGTGCATGTAGTATGCGTGCTTGCTAAGTCTGTGAATGTCCTTGCCATTACAGTGCCACTCGCTGATACTGTCATTAAACGTTGTGGAGATTTAGCTATAGACACAGGGATCATAGTAATTTTTGTAGGAGTTTTTGCAGGCGAGAGAGGGACTTTATTTACAGGGATGACTTTCGTAGGAGATCCTGGTAATGTTGCTAGCACTGTTTTCATAGGGGACACAATTCCCTGTGAGGTTATAGTCACATTTTTTGTAGGAGACTGAACGTGTGGCATCACATTTATCCCAGCTAGTGATTGCAATGAAACAGTCTGACCTGGCTGAACTTGAGCCATTTGCACAGGAACAGCCTGGGGCTGACTAGTCGTAGGGTTTTTAGTAATTATCACTTTAGTCACAATTGGATTGGTGCCAGATCCAGAAGACAGTTGCCTCTTGATCCCCACTTTGTCATTACTAGATGGCACCTCCACCACTGCTGTTTGCATTTGGTTGGCTCGAACACTGCCTGTATCAACCCGTATGGTCTGATGTCCACTATCTGTCCCCAGAACGCCACTGTTGCTAGGGGACTGTACAACAATAGTCTTGGTACCACCTGCAAAAGAATCCAGAGAACCACCCACCCCAGGGCCTCTCAGATAAATGGTCTGTGTCCCTTGCAGTGCAGAAGATAATGATCCAATCAAACTGGTAGAAGGTTGAATCACAACAGAATCACCACTCGACACAATATCTTTTGGCTGCAACTTGTCAGAATCAACCCCAATGACTTCCACAGTCTTGATGTCCGACCCCGAACTATTTGCCTGGTCAGCACGTCCCATCAATGGAGTCAAGAGAGACACACCCTCTGAAGAGATTGTTTTCACAATGGAAATTGGTGTTGTGTCTACATTCACATTCTCAAAAGAAGTTAAGAGCAATCCATCTGTTTCGTCATTTTTGGTAATGCCTGAAAAAGATAAAACAAAGCTGTAGATATCCAAGAAACACAAAGCTCAAAGAAAAATGCAACTCCTTAAAAGCAAATCAACAGGGAATAGCAATCAATGAATACCACACAAATTTGGATAAAGATACTGATTCCTGACAGGCAGTTTCCCATTTCATATCAATGCAATTTCACAATTCACCTGACTTTTGAAATACCCTGAAGAGTTATTATTTTTACACTGCATGACTACAAAATCTTCAATATCCTGTCAGTTTCAAACATTATTAAAGAAGTACTCATTCACTGAACTGTAAACATGGTAAACAGCATCACATTTTAAAACAAGTATCAGTTTATAGATTCTCTGCAGCTGACTTCTAGACAATTTGTTTACATGACACGGTTATCAGGTTAAAATGCTTGTCTTTCCAGGTGACCAAATGGATTGGAGGTTCAGGCCCAGTGACTTGATTGAGTGTGTGTCTCTCAGTATTCCATCGGTGTGGAATGTTGTTCACTGGTCTGTCCGGTCCAAACTTGAACACTAACAGGCCACTGTCACATAGCTGAAATATTGCTGAGTGTGGCATTAAACAACCTGGAAAATCTAAGATACATAAACCTTGCAAAATTTAACATGCATAGTAACAGTGAAGGAATGTGAAATTTTACAAGTATTTTTTGGTTCAATTGTCCCAAAACATCCACAGGCCATGCCAACAAGACTAAACCCAATGAACATGATTGAATTTTTGTTAAAAAATTAAAATACCGGTGATGCAGAGTAAACACATATATTTTAGTTGTCCTGCACATCATACCTCCAGAGGAAAGCCTTGATAACAATATACTTACATCCTCATAAGGGATTATTGTAAATTAATATTATTGATAAAACTTGAAATGAAAGTAAATATGCGAAAGCAATGAAACAGAATCATGAACCTGTACAGAAAATCGGCATTAACATTGAAGTTTACTCATTACGATTAACTTGTAGCAAATCTTATCACACAAATCTCTACATAACAATAGAGAAAGAAGTATTTATCTCACTAATCAGGTTAGATAACAAAATACACCTGTAAATAAAGATAATTTCAATGTGCACTTATGTATGCTAATACAGAGAAAAATGCATGGCCTATTTCATTTGTATTTAATTCCTGTGACTGCTGCTGGTCATAGTTTGTTAATATGGACATTTTCTTACAGTAAATTGTCTTTAAAACACTTGATCGGGTTTGTTAACACAACCGGATACTTATTCCATATCTGGGACACGTAAACATTGCTTGAAACACGCGCCATTTGGAGATGAAAATTCAGGGAAATTTAAATCGCCGGGATGTTTTAGGAGTGGAATATGCCTGTACAACCTCAATAACAACCTATTATATCATATCGCACGTCTGAAAGCAGGATCGTTCCATCTATATTTGATAGAGAACAGGGGATTATTTGCATATTTCAGTACCTTACATCTCTATATCGCACCACTGTGCCATATTTACCAAATAGGGTTGGATGACATTGGAGGACGCATTACATGGCCGTTTGTATATTATTGCCGAATCGTCCTAATTAGTGATTTAGTTTTCCGTGAAAGCTCAACATGGCCTTTCAATTGTGGTCCGGGGCTCAGAAACCACGTACCTGATCTCTGAGCAGGCATTCTGTATTTGTTCAAAATCACGCGCCCACCATTACCATCCCATAATGTGGACACTCGGCATCATTTTCCGCGAAGACAGTCGCACGGATGGAATAATCTTTCCGCGATAATTGGACGAATATACATTTTTACATTAAATGATTGTGAAAATAAAGATAAAAGAATAGTTGTGAAATGCCATGACACAGTGCAGTTGATTGGAATCAGTACTAGTATCACCAATGGTAATAAATGTTTTATTTATTTTGATGCGCTCCTAACGTGTCAAGAAACATGGCTGCCCCTGTGAGACAACAACTTTCTCAGCTGGCAAATTTGTCTCATGCAGGAGGTTCTCACAAGGATGTCACTGAAAAGTATTCATTTTAATTCAATGTTCCTATAGAGAGACTGAAATTCGCATTTACACGTTTTCATCATCATTTCTTTAATGCACCGGATCTGGGTTGTCTGGTCCAGACTCGATTATTTACGGACCGCCGTCATATAGCTGGGATATTGCTGAGTGCGGCGTTAAACAACAAACAAACTTAAGACTTTCCAGTTTCATTTTACATATGACAAGTTAAGTTTTGTAATCGGTACGATTTGTTTAGTTGGATGTGTGTTGTTTAACGCCCCTACCAGTGATATTCCAGCTATGTCATGGCAATTTGTAAATAATCAAGTGTGGTCCATTCAATCCAGTGATTGATATCATGAGCATCTGTCCACAAACCGAACCCTAAGTAAATCGTAAAGGGGTGTTTGATTGAAAAGGGGTGCCAAGGTTAGGGTTTGAGGGTAACCTACCCTATTAGGCTAACCCAAATACAGCTAAACCTGAGAATCAAATAACCACAGCTGGAGCTTAGTTAACCATGTTAATAGCACTATATATATAGCTAGGCTCAGTAAATGGCAGTCTAGCCATCTTTTGTCTGATGAACCAAAATAAGATGTGCAGACTGGTTTTTTTCAGTTGACATTCAACAATTTCAAGTGTATCATGTTGTATGATTGTTCCATTTTCAGATATAAAGCAATCCTTGAAGTTGTGTTGAAAACTGGTGGGGCCGACTTGATCCCATCTCTGCAGGCATTTGTAGAAGCTTGTGAGTTCTTAGCTTTACTCATACATTGATGGACCCCTCCTTAACTAGCTGTGAAATAATACCTTTGTTGCTTTCCACATTAACTATCCTATCCAACATTTTCAAAACAATTCACCAATGTAATATTTGACAGAGCTTGTTGAGGCTGGTGCAAGCTCAGGATTGGGCTCTCTAAGATTGTTTCTATAGCAACGATTCATAGCTATGTATTTGCAATGTGATAATGTTGGATAGTAACATGTTAAAAGCAGAGCATGATATCAGGTTTCAAAATTAAGCATGAAAATCGAGGATCATCAATTTAATCCTAATGTTAACAATTTAAAAAAATGCAGATGCACAGGGTACCCCATATTTTTTATACTGCCTCTGCTTTCACAGCTACCCCCTTACATGTATATTACAAGTTTGTGTATAGTGAAGAAAAAGATACCTGATCAACAAGCATCTGTAATGTTATGTTTATTTATGCTACATTTCCAACAGAACTTCCAACAGAAAAGACTGACCCTTGCATGAACCTTTTCAATCTTTATCATTGCAGTGGTGAATGAAAATGTTAGTCTGGTGATATCTCGGCAGATCCTATCAGATTTCACCGCTCAGTTATCTAAGCTACCAGATGCTATAGCCAAGCAGGTAGCACACTACACACTAGACAAGATACACACAAGAGTCATATCCTTTGAAGAACAGGTAAACATAGTAAAGTCAGATCAAATTTGAAAATATCACCTTTCATCCATATGTAATTTCTATGTTTCTTGTCATAAAGTCACATCCGTTTGAATGTTTATTTTATCGCATACATTACATATGCAATGAAAGAATTACTTGTTCATGTTGGTATCTGCAAACAAATGATTGACACATGGAAGGATTTGCTTGTTTACAGCCTGGTTATTTATTTGCTGCAGGTTGCAGCCATTAGACAACACTTAGCGGACATCTATGAGCGCGAGCAGTGCTGGAGGGATGCAGCAAACGTCTTGGTTGGCATTCCACTGGAGACTGGACAGAAGTAGGTTTACATTAGAGAGCAACCAACACTGCTTCCACTTTACTATTGTTGCCACATTACAAATACACACTCACTTGAAGTCTACTGATAGCATGACACACTAACAGACTGTAAATTATATTTGTGCTTGACTTTAAGGCAATACAGCACTGACTACAAACTAGAGACCTACCTGAAGATTGCACGATTGTACCTGGAGGATGATGATCCCGTGCAGGCAGAGGCGTACATCAACCGAGCCTCCCTCCTCCAGGCTGACACACAGAACGAACGTCTCCAGATACAATACAAGGTGATTAGAAGGTTATCAACTCTAAATTTTGGGACTGCCTCCATGTTCTAGTAGGGGTGAAACAATGCATCGGTGCACCGTTGCATTGTGAGTTTTCATGTGACCATACAATACGTGATACATTTATTTCTGTATCAATACATGAAAATAAATTGTTAAAATAAATTACTTACTACCCCTTTAATGACCCCCACCCCAGTGTTTTTGTCAGTCACATATTGCAAAATGTGTTGTACTTAGCTTTTCAAGTTTACTACTAAAAATAGCTGCTAGGAACATGTGTCTACAGCTAGCTTTTCCTTTGGAACCTGCTCTGAAATATTAATGTCAAGAAGTTTCTGCCCTATTTCATGTAAATATGTGTATCAAGAAGTTTCTGCCCTATTTCATGTAAATATGTGTATCACGATGGTGACCTATGTATTTGATAAGTATCATGTCGTGACTTTGCTGTATTCTTTCATCCCTATGTTCTTGCGGATAAAGTGTCTTCCCAGAAGGCAGAAGATCGGTTGTTCGATCCCTGGCCCCATCATATCTAAAGGCGTTATAAGATGTAACTTGTTGTCACCCTATCTGGCGCTCGGCATTAAGGGGATAAAACAAGAACTGGTCGGCACAGGGCTCATATACTGTCTCCGAGTGGGCTATCCATGTTAAACTGCAGCATGGTATCTGCATTGGAAAACACTATAAAACCGGCATTCGTCCGGACAAATGCAAGTGGAAGCAGTCACACACACATGTGCATGCACAGTAAACCCCATTTCAACTCAAATATAGGGTTTTGTGAGAAAAGCAATGAAAATTGGTTAGTCAAACCCAGTCGGGATTCAGAGTCACAATGGCAATCTTAATATATGTAAACATTTCTGTAGCTGTGAATTATTAATTTAGTATCGCTAGTCATGAATTTGTATTGATATAGCATTGCCATTAAAAATTCATCGATACCGTGATATAGAATGACATCCCTAATATACACCAGACATTACAGAGAATAGGTAAACTGACAAATTTTCCAAAGTACAGCAGAAATAACAAAAAGTATAACAGTTTAAAGTGTAAAACGTATGACTGTAATTATGTATTCATTGTTTACAGGCCTGTTATGCACGAGTACTGGATTTCAGAAGAAAGTTTATAGAGGCTGCCCAGCGCTACAATGAATTGTCGTACAAGACCATTGTAGCAGAACAAGAGAGGCTGACAGCGTTAAAGAATGCACTCATCTGTACCATACTGGCTTCAGCAGGTGCTTTCAAAGTCTCACACTCATTCACCCATTGCCTATTATGAGGGTTCTCCTATGTTATTGATGAACATAAAATGTTCAATAAATGATGTGTTGAGGATCATTTGTGAAAAGTGATGCAAGATTGTGTTCCAGCACTTTGCCAGGGGGACACCTAGTATTTGCTGAAGACAAGTTTTAGTGGGGATAAGTGAATGATTAATGCCATGTTTAGCAGTATTCCGGCTATATCATGGCAGCCTGCAAATAATCAAGGCTGGATGAGCCAAATCAGTAACTGAAAAGAAGAACTAGAATCCATCCCCTGGGGTATGATAATTCACAATCAGCCAAGCCAGACCACCGGAATTCCTGCTATCTTTTGATTAAATGTTATTTTCAGTTGTTTCTTTTCAATATTTATAAAAAAAAATATTTTTTTTTTTAAAATCAATAAGCAGTGTCCCAAAATAATGTCCAATCTGAAACCTTGATACAGGAACAGGCATACTGATCCATAGACATCCATAGTGAGTAAGAACTATCAGGATGGTGACCATTTTAGAAGACCAACATGGTGACCTGGCTGATTGGCAGGCTTACCTCTGTGTGTCATCACACCCCTAAGAGCAACAGATTAATGTTCATCCTATCAACCACTGCTTTACTTGTTTCAGAGTTGATAACAGTTTACAGGCTGTCATTTGTTATGATTGTAGTTTTGCTGAATATCAACCCATGAAATCTCAGGGTCTCCTATTAAGCTTTTAGCGTTGTGGGGATTCAATAACAGGTCCCAGTAACCTTTTTCTGTTGTAAGAGGCAACTGATGGGTCAGATAGTCAGGCTCCGTGACTTGGTTGATTGCATGTCCCAACGGCATGGAAGGATGGTTTATTATATCAATCACTTTTTTCTCAGATCCGGACTGCAGCGTTAAACAACAAACAAATATTAACTATTTTGAAACTGATCCTATCTCACACGATGCACATCCTTCTTCTTTGATCCTGGGGTGGAAACAATCCTAAAACAAGTTTCCAGTTTAAAAAAACCATCCCACCCCAACACATTCCCGTCATCACCATGACCGATTTTAGATCCAAACCCTGTTACCCCCTGCTTCTACTCTCTAACCTTCCAAAGAAAGACAGCAGGAAGATTTTTCAATATGAAGATCTTCAATTTGCAGTACTTTTACATGGTGTCCATCGCCTTGCTTCGCACAATCAATCGACCAGGAGACGTCATGGTCACTCCAGATCTTCAGGACACTTACCTTCAAATTCTAATACATTGAGACCATCATCGATACCTCTGCTCCATATTCCAAAGATTGCTCTGCGATTCGCTGTGCAGAGTTGCGACCCTTGGGCACGCCAGAAACCTATGATTGTGGGTTCGAATCCCGGTTCACCCCGATTATGTTTCTAGGTTTGTCAGCACCATACCTTGTGGGTTTCACCGAAGTGGTAAATTTCTGAGACCTGCATCACTTCGGGATTTCCTCCCACATTAAGCTGACACGCCGCGATATAACTGGAATGCTGTTAAAAGCTGCGTTAAACCTAACTCACTCACTCACTCACTCACTCACTCATCAATGGATGGTGCTCTCCTTTGAATTTCAAAGGCCCCGTGGTTATTCACCTGTTTCAAGAAACCTGTCACCCAGTTCCTGCATCGTTGAGGGATCATCCTCGAGGCCAACATCGACGATTACATACAGACTCATGCTGAACCAACCAGCTCTTGTGAAACATCTTGACTTCACAAAGATGCTGCTACATAATTTGGTGGGCTGATCAATGTGTCCATCACGACGCCTCTTCCCCTTCCAAAGTGGGGAAAATGTTCCTTCCGGCAGCTGGTTGAAAATCCAGAAGCATGTGCCATTGTCTCTAAAAACAATCACTCCCTCTCCAACAATGGCAGGAATTCCTCAGCCTTCTCACACTGGCACAAGCTCTCCCTCAGCGAGGTTACTACACCTTTGACTGATACAGTGTTTCCTCAGGCCATTTCTCCATTTCTTCACTGTTATCATTACACCATCACCTCCAGTAATTGCTGAAAAATTGGAAACTGTGCAAGTTGTATGCTTGTAAAGCTTTTTGGGTTTAAAATTATCCGCATCAAACAACGCTGTATTGGGCGAGTGTGGCAGATACCCTATTCATGTACATATGCTTTGACCAGATGTCTGAAATATTGGCCGAACATACTAAAGATGCCAGACTTCCGTTTACCAAGAAAGTGCTACAATATGTTGTACCTGTATGCTGAACATGGTCGTGTCAATTGGGTAACAAAATTAAGGAATTGTCTTTGTAAACTTGGGTTCGGAGATGTATGGAGGTTCCAAATGTATGGAAACCAAAAGGTGTTTCTTAATATGTTTAAACAACGTTTGAAAGACAATTTTCAGCAGATCTGGCATAGCAAACTTATTGCAAGTTCAAATATGTCATTTTATGCTTGTTTTAAAACTTATGTTAAATGTGAACCTTATTTGTCATTCTTAAATCCGCAAAATATGAGAACAACCCTCACGAGATTCAGACTGAGTTGTCATACTTTGGAAATTGAGAATGGACGTCATTATAAAATTCCAAGAAATTTAAGAAAATGCAAACTTTGTAAATTAGACTGTGTTGAAACCGAGTACCACTTCCTGCTTATTTCTCCAGATTCAGACTGAGATGTCATACTTTGGAAATTGAGAATGGACGTCATTATTAAATTCCAAGAAATTTAAGGAAATGCAAACTTTGTAAATTAGACTGTGTTGAAACCGAGTACCACTTCCTGCTTATTTGTCCATCGTATGTCAAGTTACGGCAACTATATCTCAAAGCAAAGTTCTATTGTCATCCTAACATTCATAAATTTAATATGCTTCTGTCATCACCAGATACATATATTATTACAAATCTAGCAAAATATCTATATTATGCAAATGAAGTAAGAAATGCGAAACTGAAAGCTTAAAACCTGTCTGTACCCACCTTTTGTACACAAAGGCCTGTGGCCTATATGTATTGGAAATAAAAATGATGATGAACTATATCCAGAGATCTTTCAATGGATTTGCCATCTCTATTGAACCCCAGACCTCAACCTCTTCACAATCCCCTTCAATGCAAAGTTGCCAAAGTGCATATCCTCCATTCTGGACCCATAGGCATAGGGTCTTCTACCTCAGGTTCTGCAGAAGGTAGTGGACTGATTATTTACCATTCAACTGTCTTCGTTAAGGGATCCTGACAATATGAAGATCTGTCCTTATGTCCAGTCAGAGCCCTAAGGATCTCCTTGAGATTATTCATCCCACTGTCGACTGCGGCAAACACTGAAGTGTCTCGGACTACAGTGTCCTTATGGTTGCGGTCTGCGATCGGTCAGCTTACATGTCTGCAGGTTTACCACCTCCAAGGGCCTCCAAGCCACATGAGACAGGGGCAGTGGCTTCAACCATAGCAACTGCAGTTCCCGGCTATAATGGAAGGTTGCTTTTGGAAGTCATAGACAGTGTTTGCCTCTCACTCCCTCAATGGTATTCTGATCTTCTACCTGCTAACCTCTGCCATGTACATGTTATGTCTCAGTAGTCGTGTCGAAGACCCGTAGGCGTATGGTCGATTATTTCCTCTTCTCGTTGTAAGTGTACTGAATTGTGGTTGTGATCGAAAGCTTTGACAAAGGTGATTTCAAGCTGGCCCACCTTACATCCTCTGGATTGTAATGTGTGTGGCCTGTCATGTAGAAGAGAAGTAGGTAGATTAAGGTCGTGGCTGAATAGGGTTCCCCTAGTTCAAAGCTACGTGGTCATTCAGAACATTGCGAAACAGAACACATGAGTTACCCGCTGTCATGTTGTATCTGTCCAAGTTGCGCCGAGGGGTTTTATGAAGCAAACCATACACGAGTCCGTTTCTTATGACACTAAGCCTTGTAACAATCAGTGGATTGGATCATGGCTTAGATCCATCTTCCTCGTGTAACGTTTCATGGTGGTAGTCTGTTTACAGGATAGGTTATCTGCACCCCACTGTCCAACTGTTGGGATAAATGCTTAGTGTGACAAAGGATAAGTTTAAAAATTTGAAAATTTTACAATAAATTGTGTATGTATATACTTATCCTATCTCACACTCTAAACACCCACCCAACCATCCCTGCATCACAGTTACACCAGCCCGTTCGCTCTAGGAAGAGAATGAGTATGCTGGGAATGTCATGTTATCGAGATGCACAAGATTCAGGTAGTAATCGACCTATTGTTTATGGTTGTGACCATGGTGATGACTGGGATGTGTTCGGGTGGGATGTTTTCTTTTGAAGCTGGAAACTTGTTTAAGATTGTTTCCACACCAGGATCATAGAAGATGAATTGCATAGTGTAAGAAAGAATTAATATAAAAATATACAATTTATTGTACAATTTTCAATTTCTTAATTTGTACTTTCTGCAAGTTTGTTCATTTGTGGAACAGCTGCCTAATAGACATGTTTCTGTGCAGGTCAGCAGCGATCCCGTATGTTGGCCACTTTGTTCAAGGATGAGAGATGTCAGCAGCTGCCAGCCTTCAACATCCTGGAGAAGATGTGGGTCACCTTACTTACATCTGTTGTCACATGGATTTGTTGTAATATTATCAGTTGATGACAGTCAGTAGGGAATAAATTCAAAATGTCAACGGCAGAGAATAATCAGCCTCAATTATCTGCTGAAACATATTCCATTTGGCGTAAGATATTGATGAAAACTATACGAATGAATCACTGAAAATCAGTGTTCGCGAAAAGGGTAAACATGCCCTGCTCTACTGGTGGCCCCACCATTCTCACAATTTGCATTATAAAGTAAGTGTTTGTTTGTTGCCTCACGCCACATCCAGCAATACTCCTGCCATACCACGGTGGCCTGTAAACAATCGAGTCTGGTTCAGACACAAAGAATGTGTGTACAATACGTTTTAGTTACTATTACAAAGCATCCCTGTATTGCTGCCAACATTATTTCACAAGTTGTTTTGGCACCTAATTCCTTGCATCATGAGCAGGCTGCAATTTGGCTCAAATTTGTGACAATGTAAGCTCCATAATCAATCGCTTAATTGAACGTCAGGAACTGTTGTCCCATACCTGGTACAGGATCGTATAACAAAATGTATGCAGCCTTGTGCTTGAAGCGTTTCGTTATTTCGTTTTAAAAAATATGGGTTTAATTCCCCCAATTAGTGTTTAGATGATAGGAGGGTAGACAGTTAGTGTTCAGATGATAGGAGGTTAGCAGACGGTCAATGATTACATGACCAGAGGGTAGCAGACGGTCAGTGTTTAGATGATAGGAGGGTAGACGGTTAGTGTTCAGATGATAGGAGGTTAGCAGATGGTCAGCGTTTTTGTGGCTTGTATTTCACTGATAACAGGAAATGTGTGAAGCCTGCCGTGATATTGCTTGAATGTTTCTATTCTAAAACCTGGATAATTCTTACTCACATATTCCCATGTTAAGATCTGTGTTAGAATAGGTCTTTAGCAACCCATGCATGCTATAAAAGGCGACTATGCTTGTCTTAAGAGGCGACAAACGGGATTGGGTGGTCAGGCTTGCTGACTTGGATGATGCATGTCATCGGATCCCAATTGAGTAGATCGATGCTCATGATGTCATTCACTGAATTCTCAAGTCCGCTTGATTATTTGCATACAGCTCAAATATTGCTGAGTGCGGCATTAAACAACAAACAAACAATAAAAGTGATCCAGCAAAATCAGTTGAGCACAAGTCCTAAAGTATAGCTGTTATGATACCCTGTGATCAGAGCATCTCTTGGAACAATATATGAGTGGAATAATGGATATTGTGTGAACAAGAAAGGGTATCACATTATAGCCAATAAAATAAACTCATCTCTGATCACAGCAACATGGAAATGAGGTTTCTGTTCATAGTTGAAGTGAATGTCAGGTGATAGCAGGAGTTGACTCATGGTGGGTTGGCCGACCTTGACAATGAATGTGTTTTTGTCCTACAGGTACTTAGATCGCATCATCCGCAGCAGTGACCTCCAAGACTTTCAAGCCTTGTTGCAGCCCCACCAGAAAGCCATCACAGCAGACGGTCAGTGATTACATGATAGGAGGGTAGCAGACGGACAGTGATTACATAATAAGAGGGTAGCAGATGGTCAGTGATTTCATGAGGGTAGCAGTGATTACATGATAGGAGGGTAGCAGATGGTCAGTGATTACATGATCGGAGGATAGCAGATGGTCAGTGATTACATGATCGGAGGATAGCAGGTGGTCAGTGATTACATGATCGGAGGATAGCAGGCGGTCAGTGATTACATGATCGGAGGATAGCAGGCGGTCAGTGATTACATGATCGGAGGATAGCAGGCGGTCAGTGATTACATGATCGGAGGATAGCAGGTGGTCAGTGATTACATGATCGGAGGATAGCAGGCGGTCAGTGATTACATGATCGGAGGATAGCAGGCGGTCAGTGATTACATGATTGGAGGATAGCAGGCGGTCAGTGATTACATGATCGGAGGATAGCAGGTGGTCAGTGATTACATGATCGGAGGATAGCAGGTGGTCAGTGATTACATGATCGGAGGATAGCAGGTGGTCAGTGATTACATGATCGGAGGATAGCAGGTGGTCAGTGATTACATGATCGGAGGATAGCAGGTGGTCAGTGATTACATGATCGGAGGATAGCAGGCGGTCAGTGATTACATGATCGGAGGATAGCAGGTGGTCAGTGATTACATGATTGGTGGATAGCAGGTGGTCAGTGATTACATGATCGGAGGATAGCAGGTGGTCAGTGATTACATGAGCGGAGGATAGCAGGTGGTCAGTGATTACATGATCGGAGGATAGCAGGTGGTCAGTGATTACATGATACATGAGTGGGTTTGTTTGCTGTATGCAACTTCCTTGTATGAATTAGTTGCTTTGCAAAACATTTGGTTGTTTCTTTGTTTTTAGGGTCAACCATTTTGGATCGAGCGGTAATAGAACACAACTTGCTCTCTGCCAGTAAGCTTTACAACAACGTTTCATTTGAAGAGCTTGGCTCCCTCCTGGAGATTCCTCCACAGAAGGTAGGTGTCTGACGAGGTGGTGGGTGTTCACAACACATTCATTTGTTGTTGGAGAATGGTAACATCATCACATCAGCAGGAGCAGCACCATCAACACGATTGTTTTGTTAAAACATTTCTTTATTTCCTTCAAAACCTGTTCCAAGGTACAGGAAGTCAAGTAAATTCTGGCATTGTTATGTGTGGTGAAATCATATTAATCATGATGATACCATTTCTAGTAATATCGTCCCCATTAATAAGTGTCTGGATTTACAAGTAATTATAACTGTAAAGGTCTTTGTATATATGTAGACATCCCTAACAGTAATCGGTTGGAATAGGGACTTCCAGACACCTGGGTTTCACTTCTTGAGATGTCAGTGAATAGTCCCTTCAGTCTGTCTGCACAGCACTGACGAATATTGTACGGTTTGAATATTAACTAAGGGAAGACTTCGGAGGACAACTGCTACTGCCATCTGTTTTATACTGCTGTAAAATGTTTGTGCAGACACTTCAGAAAGGCTTAGCCAGATGGAACCTCTCCATGCCACCATTATGTCATTGGGTGGATACAAGGTGCAATGAATTGATCATTCTTATTGCTGTTACTTTTACATGCATGGTAGTTAAACACACCATACCTCGGCTTTCAAAACTTGATTATGTGCCTCTTGCGTAATGAATGTTCATAAGTTTACAGAGGCCAAATTTACCTGACTTTTGTCCCTTTTCCAGGCCGAAAAGATTGCCTCCCAGATGATCACCGAGGGACGCATGAATGGGAACATAGACCAGATTGACTCCATTGTCCATTTTGAAGGTAGAACAACAGCCCCAATACATCTTCTTTATGTATTTAACCTGTTGATGTGTTACTGTTTACTGACATCAACAGCTTGTCCCCTCCTAATTGTGTGTACTGTACAGCATGATGGACGGATGGCACAGCTAAAGACTCCCATCCAATGGGTGTTGGTCATTAAGGTCGTGTGTAGTACAATTATAACTAGAGATGCGCAGCATTACCGGTATACCACAATTTGAAATACTAATGAATATGTATCACATTATGTTTTGAAAATACCGGTATATTGCGTTTTTCAAATTCATGCATATTTTCATTTTCAAAAGTAAGAATTATAAAATTCTGTTTTTAGCAACTGATTCCCGTAATAAGAAAAGCAAACTAATTGCAACCAGCTTCTTCTATCTAATATGACTATTATGCATGTAATGTGACCATAGCAACATCCAACAAAATGGCAGATGACTACGAAGTTGTCAAAAATGTGGAGGGTGGAGTCATGTATGGGTCCATTTCAAACATGATCACAAAATCAAAAATAACATTTGAAGTTTGCAAACATGGTCTGACTATTTTGTGAAGTATGCTGGGGTTGGGGGGCCACAAATTTTATAATGTACATACAGCAACATCATCCACTGAAAATGCAATCCTGTGTAAATTACAGTTGAAGTTACAGACGCATGCAATATATTGCACATATCGCAATACATGAAACATAAGCAATTGCAAGAACAATACGTTTGTTTTCACAAATATTCCTTTTTAGTCAACTGTCACTCATCCTTGATCCATTACTAAGAACAAAAAACATTTGTGATAAATTTCTCGTGGCCATCAGTTTGAGATGTATTTCTGCCTGATATTGGTGATGTGAGATTAGAGATGTTTTCATATGTTTTATCAGTGTTCTAGTCTGCGTTTGTTTACTGTTAAAATAAACATACTTTACAAATCAATTCAAATAACTTTGATATGCTCCTAAGAAACATGGGCCATAGTAAACATACCTTCAACATGTTTCAAACAAACTCATTTGTACAAACTTTAAGAAAATCACCACCTGCTCTGTGACCTTGCTAACATTTGCTGAGGCCTCTGTGTGTGTCTTCCTACAGCACGAGAGACGCTTCCTACCTGGGACCGGCAGATTCAGAGCCTGTGTTTCCAGGTGAACAACATCATTGAGAAGATCTCCCAGACTGCACCGGAGTGGATGCTGAAAACAATGGAAGCACAGATCCAGCAGTGATCGACCAACTCGCACGCCTGTCGACACGAGACAATAACTTGGACTGTCATACAACTGTCAGCTTTAACACTCAACATTAATTTGGAAAGGCGAATAGACGTCTCACAACGTGCTTATGGACAAACATGCTCAGTATGTGAAGGAGATGAAGGAGATGCCTCACCTCCAGTCGGGATATATAATTTGTTATGGCATCCATCATACATCAGTCACTATATTCTAATATGTTGGTTACTTATGTGACATGATCAATGACACTGAAGACTGGTGAATCACTCAGTAACATCTCTGCTGTATAAGAGAGGCCATGTTGGCCTGTACTGGTGTCAATCCTAGCTGGAGACTGCTCCTCACAGATCAGAATTGTTTCCACAGGAATGGTGATGCCAAAGTCTCCCTTACGCAAGTGAGAAGTGCTTATGAGAATAAAGTATTTATATTCATGAATGTTTGATGCCTATGTGTTGGGTTATGTGCCATCATGGAGATGAGGTACACCAGTAGCCACCCCCTGCTGGCGCCTCCTGGGATTTATCCAGTAACTTAATCCTGCAACTTTCGCAAACTTTGACTGACCAATGAAATTACTAACAAGAAGTCGACATTAGACAATCAGAAAGCAGTTATCTGGAGCTTCACGGCACTAGTTTCAAACAGATGACTTCCGTTCCTGACTATGCTTTGAAAATATTTTGGCTAAGTTCTCGATTCAAAATTTGAAAACTGAACAAAACAACATTCTGTAATGTCCATAAGATGGCTGAGTTTATATGTCTGGACTTCCCACACTCTGTGGATAAATTCTTCTGTTTGAAATTTTTATTCCTTTGAAGCGAGAAACAATTGTACTGTCATTAACCTTACGAATTTGCATGATTACAAAACACATTCTGACTGTCACTGTCACTATCCCGATCTGATAACTGACGCTCTGGATGACGGGCAGGAAAGGTTGATGTTGATGCTGCTCCCAGATGTCCTCGTCTTTTTTTCGCAGTAGTGAGCACAAAGATGTGATTTAATGAGATTGAAGCAATATGGCATCACATTGATCCGTTGTTGTAAATAATGGCTAAACAGCAGGTTGACTTGATTGTCGTTTTTCTGTGGAGTTGACATTTGAAACATCCTTTCTTAAGAGGACAAAATTATATCAAGGATAACCTACTTGAAACTCAGAATTACTGATTTCCTGTCTCTCAGGACTTACACCATTCATTGACCAATGAAGGTCCGGGTTAGAATTGATCTTCAGCAACCCATGCTTGTCGTAGGCGGCGATGAACGGAATCAGGTGGTCAGACTTATTGACTTGGTTGTTTGTCATTGTATCCCAATTGCGTAGATTGATGCTCATGATGTCAATCACTGGATTGTCTGGTCCAGACTTGATTATTTACAGACCGCTGTCATATAGTAGGAATATTGCTGACTACAAACTTCAAACAAACAAACAAAAAACACCATTCATTAACACTGGAAATAACTTGTTACTCATTGCGTATTCTATCAGTATTTAGCATTTTTAGTGAAACAGTGTCCCGTGAGAGAGTGAGTAGCAACAGTGTCTACTGAGAGGCAGCAGTGTCTAGTGGGTGACAACAGTCTCTATTGAGAGGCAGCTGTGTCTAGCGTGTGACAACAGTGTCTAGTGCAGTAGTGGGTGGAAGCAGTGTCTAGTGAGAGGTAACAGTGGGTGACAACAGTGTCTGGTGGGTGACAACAGTGTCTGGTGGGTGGCAGCAGTGTCTAGGGAGAGGCAACTGTGTCTAGTGGGTGGCAACAATGTCCACTGAGAGGTAGCAGTGTCTTGTGGGTGGCAGCAGTGTCTACAGAGAGGTTACAGTGGGTGACAACAGTGTCTTGTGCAGTAGTGGGTGGCAGCAGTGTCTAGTGCAGTAGTGGGTGGCAGCAGTGTCTAGTGAGAGGTAACAGTGGGTGACAACAGTGTCTTGTGCAGTAGTGGGTGGCAGCAGTGTCTAGTGAGAGGTAACAGTGGGTGACAACAGTGTCTTGTGCAGTAGTGGGTGGCAGCAGTGTCTAGTGAGAGGTTACAGTGGGTGACAACAGTGTCTTGTGCAGTAGTGGGTGGCAGCAGTGTCTAGTGCAGTAGTGGGTGGCAGCAGTGTCTAGTGAGAGGTTACAGTGGGTGACAACAGTGTCTGGTGGCTGGCAACTGTGTCTCGTGGCTGGCAACTGTGTCTGGTGGCTGGCAACTGTGTCTGGTGGGTGGCAGCCGTGTCTAGTGGGTGGCAAAAATGTCAACTGAGAGGTAGCAGTGTCTTGTGGGTGGCAGCAGTGTCTAGTAAGAGGTTACAGTTTCTAGTGGGTGACAACTGTGTCTGGTGGGTGGCAACTGTGTCTGGTAGGTGGCAGCAGTGTCTAGTGATAGGCTACAGTTTCTAGTGGATGGCAACAGTGTCTACTGAGAGTTAACAGTGTCTAGTGGGTGACAACAGTGTCTAGTGAGAGGTAGCAGTGTCTAGTGGGTGACAACAGTGTCTACTGAGAGGTAGCAGTGTCTAGTGGGTGACAACAGTGTCTACTAGTGGGTGACAACAGTGACTAGTGTTGGACAACAGTGTCTAGTGGGTGACAACAGTGTCTACTAGTGGGTGACAACAGTGACTAGTGTTGGACAACAGTGTCTAGTAGGTGACAACAGTGTCTACTAGTGGGTGACAACAGTGACTAGTGTTTGACAACAGTGTCTAGTGGTTGACAACAGTGTCTAGTGGGTGACAACAGTGTCTACTGAGAGGCAGAAGTGTCTAGTGTTGAATAAAGGTATTTGGTGGGTGACAACTGTCTCATGGCTGGCAACAGTGTCTAGTGGGTGACAACAGCGTCTACTGAGAGGTAGCAGTGTCTTGTGGGTGACAACAGTGTCTACTAGTGGGTGACAACAGTGACTAGTGTTTGACAACAGTGTCTAGTGGTTGACAACAGTGTCTAGTGGGTGACAACAGTGTCTACTGAGAGGCAGAAGTGTCTAGTGTTGAATAAAGGTATTTGGTGGGTGACAACTGTCTCATGGCTGGCAACAGTGTCTAGTGGGTGACAACAGCGTCTACCGAGAGGCAGAAGTGTCTAGTGTTGAACAACGGTGTTTGGTGGGTGACAGTTGTGTCTGGTGGGTGGCAGCAGTGTCTAGGGAGAGGCAACTGTGTCTAGTGGGTGGCAACAATGTCCACTGAGAGGTAGCAGTGTCTTGTGGGTGGCAGCAGTGTCTAGTGAGAGGTTACAGTGGGTGACAACAGTGTCTTGTGCAGTAGTGGGTGGCAGCAGTGTCTAGTGCAGTAGTGGGTGGCAGCAGTGTCTAGTGAGAGGTAACAGTGGGTGACAACAGTGTCTGGTGGCTGGCAACTGTGTGTCTCGTGGCTGGCAACTGTCTAGTGGGTGGCAAAAATGTCCACTGAGAGGTAGCAGTGTCTTGTGGGTGGCAGCAGTGTCTAGTGAGAGGTTACAGTTTCTAGTGGGTGGCAACTGTGTCTGGTAGGTGGCAGCAGTGTCTAGTGATAGGCAACAGTTTCTAGTGGATGGCAACAGTGTCTAGTGAGAGGTTACAGTTTCTAGTGGATGGCAACAGTGTCTACTGAGAGGTAACAGTGTCTAGTGGGTGACAACAGTGTCTACCGAGAGGTTGCAGTGTCTAGTGGGTGACAACAGTGTCTACTGAGAGGTAGCAGTGTCTAGTGGGTGACAACAGTGTCTACCAGTGGGTGACAACAGTGACTAGTGTTGGACAACAGTGTCTAGTGGGTGACAACAGTGTCTACTAGTGGGTGACAACAGTGACTAGTGTTTGACAACAGTAGCTAGTGGTTGACAACAGTGTCTAGTGGGTGACAACAGTGACTAGTGTTTGACAACAGTGTCTAGTGGGTGACAACAGTGTCTACTGAGAGGCAGAAGTGTCTAGTGTTGAACAAAGGTATTTGGTGGGTGACAACTGTCTCATTGCTGGCAACAGTGTCTAGTGGGTGACAACAGTGTCTACTGAGAGGCAGAAGTGTCTAGTGTTGAACAACGGTGTTTGGTGGGTGACAACTGTCTCATGGCTGGCAACTGTGTCTGGTGGGTGACAACAGTCTCTAGTGAGAGGTAGCAGTGTCTGGTGGGTGGCAACAGTGTCTACTAGTGGGTGACAAAAGTGACTATTGTTTGACAACAGTGTCTAGTGGGTGACAACAGTGTCTACTGAGAGGCTGAAATGTCTAGTGGGTGACAACAGTGTCTATTGAGAGGTAACAGTGTCTAGTGGGTGACAACAGTGTCTACTAGTGGGTGACAACAGTGACTAGTGCTTGACAACAGTGTCTACTGAGAGGTAGCAGTGTCTAGTGGGTGACAACAGTGTCTACTAGTGGGTGATAACAGTGACTAGTGCTTGACAACAGTGTCTACTGAGAGGTAGTAGTGTCTAGTGGGTGACAACAGTGTCTACTAGTGGGTGATAACAGTGACTAGTGCTTGACAACAGTGTCTACTGAGAGGTAGCAGTGTCTAGTGGCTGGCAACAGAGGATTAGTGAAGGGCAACATTGTCTAGTGGGTGGCAAAAGTGTCTAGTGAAATGTTACAGTTTCTAGTGGGTGACAACAATGTCTAGTGTGTGACAACAGTGTCTAGCCTGTGCCAACAGTGTCTAGTGTGTGACAACAGTGTCTAGTGTGTGAGAACAGCGTCTAGTGAGTGACAACTGTGTCTAGTGGGTGGCAGCAGTGTCTAGTGTGTGACAGCAGTGTCTAGTGTGTGACAGCAGTGTCTAGTGTGTGTCAACAGTGTCTAGTGTGTGACAACAGTGTCTAGTTTGTGACAGCAGTGTCTAGTGTGTGGCAGCAGTGTCTAGTGTGTGTCAACAGTTTCTAGTGTGTGACAACAGTGTCTAGTGGGTGGCAGCAGTGTATAGTGGGTGTCAACAGTGTCTAGTGTGTGACAGCAGTGTCTAGTGTGTGACAGCAGTATCTAGTGTGTGACAGCAGTGTCTAGTGTGTGTCAACAGTGTCTAGTGTGTGACAACAGCGTCTAGTTTGTGACAGCAGTGTCTAGTTTGTGACAGCAGTGTCTTGTTGGTGTCAGCTGTGTCTACTGAGAGGTAACAGTGTCTACTGAGAGGTAACAGTGTCTACTGAGAGACAACAGTGTCAACTGAGAGGTAACAGTGTCTACTGAGAGGTAACAGTGTCTTGTAGATTCCAGCAGTGTCTAGTGAGTGGCGGCAAGGTCTAGTGGGTGACAACAGTCTCCAGTTGGTGTCAACAGTGTCTACTGAGAGGTAACAGTGTCTACTGAGAGGTAACAGTGTCTACTGAGAGGTAACAGTGTCAACTGAGAGGTAACAGTGTCTACTGAGAGGTCACAGTAACTACTGAGAGGTAACAGTGTCTACTGAGAGGTAGCAGTGTCTAGTGGCTGGCAACAGAGGATTAGTGAAGGGCAAC